ATTGGCCATTTGCATTTCCTCTTTGGAGAAGTTCCTTTTTAGGTGTTCTGCCCATTTTTTGACTGGATTATTTTCTTTGTTTTTGTTGCATCTCATCAGCTCTTTGTAGATTTTTGTGATCAGCTCTTTATCATTAGTGTTGTGTGCTAATGTAGTTTATTAGCAGCAACATGAATGGTGCTGGAAGGGATCATGCGCAGCGAAATAAACCAGAAAGAAAAAAGAAAAATACCGGATGGTCTCACTCATAGCAGGAATTTAGAAAACCTGAATAAGGGACCAGGAAAAAGACTAATTATAATAAAGTAAAAATCAACAAGCAGCTATTAACCGGAGACACACTATAGGGGTCGGAGTAGGAGGGATTATGGTCAAAATAAGAGGGGTGGGAATTGTATGGGGACTATAACCAAGATGAAAATGCATCCACTGTGCAAAAATGAAAAATGATGTAAAAAACACATAAATTAAAAAATTAAAAAAAAAATCACCTGAACCTTATGTTACCCACTACCCTCCCTTATTTCCCCTTTGATCCTGTCTCCCTCCCTCATCCCTGTTAACCTCAAAAACCTCACTTCATTCATTAATATCACTAGTTTTTATAACTATTTTATTTGTTGACTCATCTGCCATGTACATGTCCAATATTCCTCTGTAATTCTCACCTGCTTTACTGTACATAATTTCCTTGAGCTCCTTCCATTTGTCAATGTTTTGGTTTTTTTTTTTAAGATTTATTTATTTATTTATACAAGCACTGGGCACAGTCAGAAGCGCGGGAGGGTGAGAGAATTCACCAGAGCCAGAGCAGGGAGCAGAGCAGGCAGAAGGACTGAAGTACACTGCTGAGGGGAGCAGCGGGCGGCAGGAGAGGTCTGCGCGCCATGTGGGACCCTCCTCCGGTGGCCGGGGAGCAGCCGGGGATCGAACCGATGCTGCAGAGGCTGCGGGCAGCTTCGCAACCCAGCGCTCAACTGCTGCGCCACCGGGGAGGCCCTTTTTGTCAATGTTTTCTTTCCTTCTGGTTGAATAGTACTCCATAGTGTATAAAATGTCTGTGCTGTTATAAACCAAGGTTACCATGATAAAATTCTTATCAACAGATTGATATAGATAAGTATCACTGTTTTTTCATACATTAATTAATAGGCAACCTTTATTGTATCAAAATGCAATTTCATGGGCAATGTATTTTGGTATTTTTTATGGTATTTTTTAATCTCAGAATTGTGTGTATGTGTGTGTGTGTGTGTGGTGTGTTTACAACAGTGACTACATTCTAAGCTAACAAATATTTTTAAATAAACATTTCATAAATTGACTTCACACATTCAGCATTCTTCACGAGATCATACTAGTAGAATTTTTATTCATGCCTCAAGATATTGTTATCATTATTAGACAACTAATTTTTTTACTAATTCTTTTGGGTACTTGGAAAAATATGTTATTGAGTGTTTTGTAACAAGTTTGGATTGTTGTTGAATATCTTTTTAAAAAAACATTTGAATACATATATCTTGATATATTGTAAATTATCCTATACCCCTTTTTTTTTCCTGTCTCTCTCCCATTTTTTGTTCCAATGGTCAGAAAATCTCTTTCTTTTCAGGTCAGTCTTGAGTCCATTGAGATGGAATTCATTCATTAGAGCAGAGTAAAAAACATTTTTGAATAAAATGTGCTGGGACAAATATCACTTTACAAAAGCATTCCTGTGGTTGTGCTAATGCCACTGCTTCCCAAACAATATTTCAAAATGCATTTCACAAATCAGCAGTTCTCAAACTGTGGTCCCCAGGGTAGCAGTGTCACCAGCCAGGAACTACTGTGTCAGAAATTATAAAGGTGGAGGAACCCCAGCAACTGTATTTAAACAAGCCCTCCAGGTGATTTTAATGGACACAAAAACCTGAAGGCTAGGACCCTAGGCAATAAAAGTCAAGTGTTGGTTCTTAAATTTAAAAATGACATGTTTAGAGAGTGATTTAGATTATTTCACAGTGGCAATGTTTTTCAAAAGTCATTCTAGTGGAGCCAGTTTTAACTATGCCCTGTTGAAATCATCCTTTTGGTGAAAACCATAGTAAATTTTGGTTAAACAACATCTTTTACATTACTAAGAGCACAAATTAATTTATTCAGAGCAAATGCCAAATGGAATTCAAAGAAGTGTAATCTACCAGGTGACCTAGTGTGCCACCCCATCTTCACCGGCCTAGTCTTCTGCTGGATTAAATTAGTCTGCTTTTTAATTGAATCTCAAATCCTTGGAAATTAGCCCTTATGGGAATATGGGGTTTGAATATTTAAAATTTGAAAATAAAATATCCTAGGATGATTATTTTCAGATGATGCAGGAAATAGCATTAAAAAGAAGACCAGAGCTTGCTAAATCCTAGCATGAAGAGATTAACTTGTGTTGCTAGGTAACAAAGTGGGAAACTGGGAAACAGAGGCTCGTGATAGAGAAAGGACACAAGAGGAGGCACATTTCACCTGCTCCTATTGCCTGGAGATGCCTGAGAAGGCCAACTTATCCAATCCTTCTGGGCACCTTATCCAATCACTTTTATTTGTTTGTAAAAGTGCCTCAATGAATTTGATTTCTAGAGCTCCCTATCATGTGAATCTTATTGAATTTGCTGGTTCATGATTTTCCAGCTTTCGCCCATGTCCACTGTGATGATTATATGCTTTCGCTGTTTATTACTGCTAAGTTTTATCTGCTAACATTTGAGCACAAAAACATTTTCGTGGAAATGGAATGGTCCTTCTGGGTGCTGTGCAATACTCAGTAGGTTTTACATAATTTGTGTTTCATGCACCATCTATTTGAAGGACACTCAATGTCAGGATTCTTTTTTACATCTTTTCAACCAAATATCAAACTATGGGTGTGAATATCAAGGGTCAGTGCAGTCTAAAGCAACAGTAAGATTGGTGATAAAATTTATTTATTTCAACATTTTGGGAAGAAGTGTTTGCACTTTCTTGGCATTTTGACAATGATCATTTGGGTGTTATCCCCAGATGCCAGAATTGATGGGGGGAAAAAAAGTTAAAAGGAAGTTGTACTTTCTATTTTTATAATATTTTCCCTATGCACAGCACATACCTCTAGAATTTCATCAAAAGGGTCTTGACCAAAGAAAGGGAGATAGTTATCCGGGCATTATCTATACTCCCGAGTCACTCTGTTGAGTTTAAGTTTCATTTAGACTCTTAAATGAGATCATGTCCCTTCGATTTGCTACTTATAATCCCATTGGAGTGGGAACTGTGGTAGGAATGTGAGTGATGTATTTAATGTTAAATGTTGATATTTGGTTGTACCCAAGAATTTTAAGATTTATGGAATATGGTATGTACACTGATAAGTAGATCAGTGGGTAGCACGCAGGTAGGGGTAGACATGTTTTATGGCAGATAATTAATGGAACAATGTTCTTCCTTCACTTTTCAGTAAAGAATTTATCTCCTTGGGTTTTTTTCTTTAGGAAGTGAATCGGAAATTCACATATATGTTATTATAGTTTGTGAGTCAGTAATCTAAGTAAAATATTGAATCCTTAGATTATTTTTGGTCAAAAAATATCTAGACACTTTCTTATAAATACTGGCCACTGGGTTACTCGTTTCCAAGCTGTTGTGCTTAAGTTAAAGTTAACTCTTGGGAATCTGAATTTTGGTTTTTGGCATCAGCAAATCTTTATTTTGCAAAATGCCTGCCACAAGAGACATTCTTTGTATTATACAGACAATCCCTCAGTGCCTGCAAAGATGGAGTGTTCAAGAGCTTGGTGTTATGATGGATGATGGCATGTTCCTAAACATATCAATCCCTTTCCAGCTGCCACTGCACCCTAGGCCTCTCAAAATAATTCAGCAGCACTGCCTTAAAGCACTTTACACAATTAAATTTGAGTTCACAAAGATATTTCTGCTCATAATTCTTAAATTTTTTGTTATTGTGACCCATTTTTTGGGGGGTAATTCCTCAATTCTTACACCCATATGGATGTATATACACATATGTGTATATATGTGTATATTCTTGGTTTAGAACAAGTGATAAATAAAAATCAGTTATATATGCATATGTGTATATAAATATACATATGTTATATATCAGTTATGTATGTGTATATGTATATACACATTTATAACTGATTTTTATTTATCGCTTGCTCTAACCCAAGAATATAGTGCTAGGAATTCGGGGTATTTTATGGGACATTATATAGCGCATACTAACTTCTTGATTTATTGGAATTTATGAAATAATCTTATTTTTCAAAATAAAGTGCATCTAATGCATTTAAATGGGGATCAAGGACTACAGAATTCTTCTGTAGACTTAGAGATACACAGAAAGTTATAAAGCCAGGTTTGCAATCATGGCCTAATAATCATATTTTCAACTATAGAATATCCAGGAGAGAAAGGAGTTTGTATTTTCATTTTTGCTCACCAAAACAGTGTCTTAAATTCTGCAGCAGATAATAATGAAATCTGCAATTATCATATGCTGAATTTGACCAAAAGTTCAATGTGTTTTGAGAGTCACTCTGAGTTCCTGTGGAAAGACAAAATGGAGTAAATTTTGGCTTACATAAGACATTCCCCGCAGGCATTGTGCATATGATATCCACTTATATTGTGTAAAGAAGCAAAGAGTGCCATTTGGGTACTGACCCCACTTGACTTTTTACACTTACAGTTCAATTGCACAATTTAACCCTTTCATCTTCACCACAGAGAATGCCTGCAACAAGAATTTGTAAAAAGGGTGTTGTAGAATAAGTGAATAAATGAACAATGAAGTTCACATTGACCTTATTTCTTATAAATGAAATGGAAAGGTAGTGTTTTTCAGTGTATTTGACGTCATCAAGGAACGTGGTAACCCTTTCTGAAGACCTTCACTGTGCAGATTCATGCAAGGCTGCCATCAAGTTCATCTCTTTTAACTTTCTCCGTCCTTGTCTCCGCAGAACGATTCAATGTGTATCTTATGCCTACACCAAATCTGGACATTTACGGCGAGTGCACCATGCAGATCACTCACGAGAACATCTATCTCTGGGATATCCACAATGCCAAGGTCAAACTGGTGATGTGGCCTCTCAGCTCACTGCGGAGGTATGGACGGGACTCCACGTGGTTCACATTTGAATCGGGCAGGTAAGCACCAAGGCAGAGTCTTGTGAGAATTGTCCTGTCCATCCCTGGCGGGGTGATTGGCATTTGCGAAAAGGTTAACAGTCACCAAATTCAGAACTCCTTCAGATTCATATTGTCAGTGTGAGTAAGGTGAGAGTCATTCTTTGGCAGAAAGAATAACTCAAAGAATTTCAAAATAATTTCAGTCCCTGAAATTAGCATCAAACTCATTTCCTGTTTGTTTAAATCATGCAATATGTTTTGCCACATCATTGCAACACTCTTTTGTTGGTGTCTCATCATGCCATTGGATTCCCATAGAATGCAGTTTGTCCTTGTCGGCGTTCTTCTTGTGAGTGTTTAATAAACCATTTCAAAAGGAGTTTTATGGAAAACATTGAGCCATTACTTTCTAGGTCTGAGATCAGTTCATGCAATATTCCTTTATCCAGATGCTATGTTAATAATACTAGTGAAGTGTGGGCCTCCCCTGGTGGCGCAGTGATTGAGCGCTGGGCCGCGAGGCTGCCCACAGCCTCTGCAGTGCTGGTTTGTTCCCCGGCCACCGGCGAGGGTCCCACAAAAATAATAATAATAATAATAATAATGATAATAATAATGATAGTGAGGTATAAATTAATTCAGGAGAACTGAAGAAATGTTGGTAAGCCCATAAGTTATGAAATGTGTAACTCAGATTTTAAACTTCTTGAGTCAAGACTAATGCCTCCGTTTCCGATGGCAGCCTAAAGTCGGTTCCATAAGCGACTGCAAGGAGTGCTTGCCTCACGATCATCCTCTGCAGACACCGGCTCAGACATGAGCCTCCACCAGTTAAATCGGCATCTTTGTTCAGTGACCCCTTTGTGATAATGACATGCATCCAAGATAAGACGTAGGGTCGGGACGCTGTGCAAGTGATGTTTAATGGGTCGGTCTCCACAGCCGGGACATGATTTATCACATCCTGAAAATGAATCTGTGGCGTTGTCAAGTAATTACAGTGAGATTTGGTTGCATGGATATAGCCGTTTTAATTTCCTAACTTCTTACAAAACTGTTAAATTCTCTTCCAAGGTCAGATTCTAATAATATCCATCTGGAGTAGGCTATGTGTCTTTTAAAATTTTAAGGAGAGAAAAAGGCTAAGCTGAAGTCATTTTACAAGGTTGGAGCCCTTTAGCTAACTAAGGTGACATCAAAGTCTCGACTGCTCTGATTTCTCAAAGAGCTTCCAAGGTTGTATTTGTTTAGTTGCCTATGAGTGGGTGCCGCTATTTCCGTCTGCTAGGTATTGACAGTGTAATGGTAATCATGTTCTAGACACCATTTGGAAATAAAAATTCTAAGTTATATGATATGCACTATTTTAAAATTGCATGGCTATGAAACGGAAATTATAGATTAGAGAGTCACTCGCCTGAAACTTAGGATGCTTTTCTTCTTACTAGCCTTCAAATGGAGTGTATGTATTTTTCAAGAGGGGCATATGGTTTCTTTTTCATCACTTAGCAAAACTTCCTCCTGGATTCCCTCCCGTGATCTTTGTCCTAAGTACTTCTGGTTTCCTTTTTTTATGAAGAGCAATTTAGCTACCTTGTCTCCTGATTTTAGTAGGTGATAAACAAGTTGTATTTTTTTCCCTTGTATAGTGGTTGGCAGAATTTCACTCCACTTGCTTCTGTCCACACTAGTTTTTGTCAATTTCGTTTCCTTTAAAGTCCTTAAGGGAAATATGTTGACTACAGGTTTTTAAATTGATATTCTCGGTCAAAACATCAAAGTACTTACGTGAAACTTGTTTTATCTGATGGTCAATAATAATTGGTCTCCTGTGATCTTGATGTCTTTTAATAATTTTTAGATAGATGAAAAATGTTAACTTAGGTCATTTGGCTTTCTTGTCTTCAGTTTTCTTGTTTATCTTAGGAAGTCTGTTTTGCATAATCTAGGCACATGACTCTTGAGGAAATGAAAAGACAAGATACAGGTTTGGAAAAGATATTTGAAAGTCTTGTATTTGACAATACACTTGTACCACAATATGCAAAGAATATCGAAATTTCCACACAAAAAAGTGCACATGTTGCACTTTATACATTTTCTTTGTAAATCCCCCAGATTGGGAATATTAAATTGTATGATTAAAAAAAAATTAGTGCAAACTTTTGAGGGAGCAATTGAAAAGAAAGGCTTAAAATCATCCATAATAGCTCCATATTTAAATAACTGTTTTTAATATGTTTTCAAATTCTGTAAATAACGATATCCTATCTTTTTATGTAATATTGGGAAATAACCTTTAAGCCTTTCAAAATCAAGGTCCTCAAAGCTGTATGGTATCTGATCATTAATTGAACATTAAAATCTTCTCAAAATGAACTCACATAAATAAAGCCACAATGACCATCTGCTGAAAGACGTGCAATCTCCTGACTATTTTCTTACCAGAGTCCTTTTAAAGACTCATTGGGTCAAAGGATGTGAATGTTTTCAAGGTTTTTCATAATATAGCAAATTGCTGTCAAGGAAAGCGCGAATAGTTCATCCACCCTTTGATGGTGAGCTCTTCTTGACCCCGGCACCACAGCATTAAAATAATGACTTAAATGTCTCTGTTTTGAAAGAGGACTTGGCTATGTGGTTATGCTTTTCCTTTCTCTTTTATTTGTTTCTTTATTTTCATGATTAGAGGTTGTCCTTATGTAAGCTGCTCGTTTGTAATTGGATATTTTTTTCCTTCTCTAAATTGTGAGTGTCCTTTGCCTTTTAATAATTGGGATAATTGACCATTACTTTATGCATCTGTTTTATAATTTCACATGAGCTCCCTCTTGTTAAAGGGAACCAAGGGCAAAAGGTGGCACTACTTGATGCAGAGATAAAGGCAGGGGTCTCTCTTCCCTGCGCCAGGATGGGGTGGGTAACAAGACAGGGGCAATTAAAAAATCAAAATTGCAGAAGAGGGCTGGTCAGTCGTCCTAGGAAACCTACAGCCAAAGGACCTACATGTTCTGCTTTTCTTTTTATTTCTTTTTCCTTTCATTATTTCCTTTTATTATTTCCTTTTATTTATTTCCTTTGAGCTTTTTGCAGAATGTAATTTTAATTCTTGTATCTATGTTACTGGATATTCTGGAAAGTAATAAAATTGCACTTATCAAAGTACTCTTTTTTCCACTGGCAGGTGTTTTTTTAAATGTACTGTTAAATTCTACTTTCCCACTGAAATATCAAAATGAACAATAGAGATGGTTCTAGACCATTATTTCTGGAGGAGCATACCTCTACATCCGCATAATTATGATCATGTTCCACTAGTGCCAGGGAGCACGTGTGGAGTGTGAGGGTGGGAGAGCCAGGCCTGGAAGCTCCCAGGGAGGATTGACTCAGAGGACAGTGCAGTTGGGAGAAGAATCCATTGTCTCCTGTCACTTCAGGGCAATTGCTCTTTCACGATAGCAATTGCCCATTTGTATTTTAGGAGTAAAAAAAAAAAAAAAAAAAAGCCAACCAATTTTCCATGCGAGCCTATTTTCTCAAAAACTCAAAAAAGCTACTCAGACCTGTAGAGAAAAGGAGAGGATTCATGATTATATGCTGTTTTATACTGTGGAAAACAAAACTACACTTTTAACTGCTGATACAGCATTTTATTTCATGGAACCTCATAAATATTGTAAGCATAAATCAGGATGAGTTCAGATGCCTGCAGAACAAAATTCAAGTGAGCCCAAAATTCTTTTTTATAAAATTATTGTTCAAAACATAACCTCCCTATCCAGCACAATATTTCATATAACAAAATTGGCATTTAAAATGTATGTTTTACTAACTTTGATAATACTGTCTCTGTTTAAAAGCCTGAGGAAAATCTGGTTATATAGTCTTAATAATTGAAAAATGTAAACCAGTATTTAAATACTGAGCTACAGTTCTGCTGAGGAGGTGGCTCGTGGGAGCAGTGCTGAGTGTGCTGCACTCAGGGATGCTGTGATGGCATCCCAAACTTTTTTGCTCACAAATGCAGAGAGAAATTTTTCCTTCTCTAACTCATGCTCAGTGAGTTAAAAGGAAAGGTAACCTAGAGAGCTCTTAAAAATTTTACCAAAACAAGATCCCAAAATAAATAAATATAACTGTCAGAGTTAAAAACTTGACTCCTAAGGAAATGAAAAGACAAGATACAGGTTTGGAGAAGATATTTGAAAGTCATGTATTTGACAAAACACATGTACCACAATATGCAAAGAATGTCAAAATTTCCACAAAAAGAAAAAAATAAAATCCAGTTTAAAAAACAGAACAGATTTGCTGAGGCACTTCACCAAGAAGATACACAGTTGACCAATAACTGCATTTTAAAAATTGCCAAACTGAATTAGTCATTAAAGAAATGCAAATTAAAATCATGCTGACTAAAATGAAAATGAAAAATCTGATAAAACCAAGTGCTGACAAGGACAGCAGATGGAATGCCCTCAATAATGCTGGTGGTAATGCAAGCTGGCGTAGCCACTCTAGAAAGCAATTTTGGCATTTTCAAAAGTAAATGTTAAAATCCACCCAAAATATCACCCCCAAATCCTACTTCTATGAATTTCCTCAAGAAAAATGAAAATAGGTGCCCATGTAAAATCTGCCCATGATTGTTTATAGTCATCTTATCACTCAAGACTGGACAAATCAGATGCCCCTCGATAAGCAGAAAAGCTGCAGTAAATCCATCAAGAGAGCGTGATGTGGTGCTCTGTTATAAAAAGGAACAAATGACTGATGCTGTAACAACAGATGGATGGATCTCAAATGCATCGTTCTACTTAAAGGAGGTACAGCCAAGGACAACTTACTTCATGGTTCCCTTTGCATAAAATACTGGAAAAGCAAAACTACAGGGGTCGACAATAGACCACTGACTGCTGAGAGAGGTGGGCGTGGAGAACTATGACTATAAAGCAACAATACAAGAGATTTGGGGGGCTGATGAAACTGCTCTTTATCTTAATTGTGGAGGTGGAACA